ACCACCACCAGTACCACCACCAGCACCACCACCAGCAGCAGCAGCAGCACCAGCAGCAGCAGCAGCAGCAGCAGCAGCAGCAGCACCACCAGCAGCAGCAGCAGCAGCAGCAGCAACAGCAACAACGGCAGCAACGACGACGACGACAACAACAACAACAACAAACGCCTCTTGTGGCATGTCCGGTTCAGCATAGATCTTCAACCTGCCCCCTCATTTGGCGATCCCGGATCATCATCAAAACACACACATATTCATATTCACATACATACATACATACATACACCTACACACATGCATTTACGTATACATTTACATATACATGTACATATGCATATACATATACATATACAGATACATATACATACACACACACGCATATATATATATATATATATATCTTAGACACGTCCGCTCATTTGGCGACTTCGGCTCATCATGTATCTTAAACATGCCCCCTCATTCCGGTTCATCATATATCTTAAGCATGCCCCCTTATTTGGCGTTTCCTGTGCATCATATATCTTAAAAACGCACCTCATTTGGCGAGTCCGGTTCTTCATATATCTTAAACAGACCCCATCATGCATCTTCGACACGCCCCCTCATGTGGCGATTCCGGGTCAGCATATGGGTCTTAAACACCCCCCCCCCCCTTCCTCTGGCGATGTCGGTTCACCATATATCTGAAACACGCCCCCTCATTTGGTGATTCCGGTTCATCACAGATTTTAAACATGCCCCCAGGGGTATTTTCCGGGGCGTATGAACAGGCACACTCGTGGGAGCGTGTATATAACTCTCCCATCCCGAAAGGGGCCTAGAGGACGAGACCGACCCGCACCTTGAAGGGGTAGGCCCTCGGGCAAGGGCGCTTGCACCGCAGGGATACGCACAAACAGTAGGGGCAAAGGACACCAAAAGACTCGGAGCCAAGCAAAGCCACTGGTCTTATGTGCATCGCTTTTGTCATGGCCTCAGAATGTGTGCAGCGGCCCCTCAAGGGCCCAGCGAGGGCACCAAGTCTTATCGGGGCAATGGCCCCTGCACAGCCGAGCAAAATGTGGATAGTCCCGCTCTGACGAACGGGAGGTAGGAAGTGTCTGCCTCCCATGCCCGGGAGCAAAGCAAAAGGGACAGAGAGAGAGAGAGAGAGAGAGAGAGGCGAGGGCTAGGGGGGAAACCCCCTGGTCCCTAACCCTAACGAAAGAAAGAGAGGCGACAGTGATGGGGGGGGAAAAGGCACCTGTGGACCGCAGGTGCGCGCTCGCGCGCGGAGGGTTGGGGACGGACACTACCCCAGCTCTCCCCACCTGGTAGAGAGAGAGAGAGAGGCCCAACGCCTGCCACTCACTAACACAATGGGTGGTGGGGCGGGCCTATGGCCTGAGGGTTGGGATGCCGACCCCTACGCCCTGCAGAAAGAAAGAACGAGAGAGCCAAAGCAAAGCAAAGCCAGCGAGAAAGAACTTTGGTGAAGTGGACTTCAGCGCCGAGGCAGAGGCAGAGACGGAGCCTTCAGAGCCGCTGCAGCTCATCGTTGGTCCTCAGGGCTCGAGGTGGCGAAGAGGCACCTTGCGCTGTGCCGCTGACGCTGGAAGATTAGCACTGACTCGGGGTGGAAGGCAGAAAGCAAGGCTGAAGTCGCCACGGGGTCGTTGCCTCTCACCGAGACCAAGGCCTGTCGTGGTGCCTGAGAGCTCAGGTTTAACTCAGCAGTCGGGGGCCGGCTGCGCGTGAGACAGATTCTCGAGGCTCGGTGAGGAGCCTTAAGTCCAAGCCAAGATGGGCCCAAATTGGCATTTGGGGGGATGTGTTGAGGCACCCGACGGCGGGCGCTCCCTGATCGGGCAGAAGGCAAGGAAAGGGTCTTCCTCCTGGCTGCCCGGCTGCCCATTTGGCCATTCCGCCTGCAGCAGGTGGTGGTTTGTGGCTGGGTGACCTTCCAAGCGTTTAGTTGCGTGTGCCCGTGTGCCCGTCGGCCGGCTCTCAGGTGCGTACTGTCCGTGCTCAGAAGAAGTTGGCATTCCTGAAGGCCCAGCCGTGTCGAAGTCCGTCGGGCAGTCAGTAGGCAGCCATTGGATACAAGATGCCAGCGGAACAAAACCCGGCTTGTGCAGGTGAATGATGGATCGACAGTTCAGGATTTTGAGTAGCACAGCCTGTTGCTTTGGCTTTCGCTCACATCGAGCATGGGGAGCAGCTTTGCCGCCGTATCCTGTTGACGAGACAGGAGCTGCAGATCGTCGTGCTGCTCCGAGACCAAGCTTGTTTGCTCTCGCTTGTCTCAGCTGATGGATTTGGCCGTCCGGATCAGTCAGCGCTTGTATTGTCGGGCCCAGCCCCCGACTCGTGACTAATGTGTTGGAACAGCAAAGAACAACTTGTCTCGACAAGCTCCATGTCATGACTTTCGCGAATAGTTCATCCTCACCACTTGGGGTCGTAGTGTACAAAAACATCGCATCGTAGCCTCGTGGCAGCTTCTTGCCGGAAATGGTGTGGGCATCACGATGTGCTCCTTGGCAACAGGTGTGCTTCATGTCGCATCTCTGTTTTCGAACGACAGCTTTAAGGCACAGTGGATCCATCGCTGCCAGCCCGTCAGGAGCTGATCAGCTCTAGCCGCCTGGCCGAGCCGGAGCCTGCAGGTCATGTTGCCCCAATGTTCAGGAGACTGCCCGGTACGTTGACGGAGGGCAGATGCCTTCAGGAAGCTTTCCGAATCACACCCAGAGAGGCAAGGGAGCAATTCCCAAAGCACAGAACTCCTCCGTTCGCTGCGCTCGTTTGAGAACTGCAGGCATGGCCTTCCGCCATGGCACGGAGGGCTTTCAGCGCAACACCCGGGCCACAAGACATAGGCCCACGCTCTGGGCAACCAGGGCCACCTCCTGTACACCCGCTGCTTGGCCCGCACATGTTGCAGACGATGTATGCTGTGATGCAACGCGGAGACTCTTGTGAGGTTCTTCATGCAAGCTCTCAGAGGAATGGGCCAGGTGGTCTTCTGCCACCCGACGCAGAAGAGGTCAAGGGTATGTCATGCTGATGCTTTGTGGTGATTCGAAGTGGCTACAGTTGCGGCCCTTCTAGGAAGGTCTAGCTGTCTAGCTTACGGCCAAGGCAACAGCGCGGTCTCCGGTGGCTTCCTCGCAGCTCGGAAGGGCTACGAGAGCGAGAGAAGAGAGAGGCCTTCTGCACGCCTCTTTAGGCCGGTGCCTTGCTGATCGGAGATGCCGAGTTACCTGGCTGAAGCCAAGCGGCCCCTCGCGTCGGCTGGTGCATGTCCAACCGCTAAGGTTGGGCGTTCTGGCACTCGCGGGAGTCACCTCTGCCACCCTCACCGCACGTGCTGCCTCACTGGACCCACAGGTCGCCAACTCGGTTGAAGCAGAGCGGCGAGGATCGTTGTTAAGTATCATGAAGTTTGCCATGGCGCAGTCTTCCTCACCTCCAATTCACGGCGGTCCGCCAGCTCGCTGCCATCAGTTGGCGGACGGCCTGAAGCATCTTCCATTGGTCTCATTTGGCGGGTCTGATGGCCTTCTTGCTACCTGCTAAAGTAGCTAGCCTTGGTGAAGTGATGACGGCGAGTTGCTTTCAGCAGAGTCTCTGAAAGACGAGACTATTCTCGGACCCAGAGACTTACACCAAGGCAAGTGTAAAAATATATGTCTGATTCAGTTCCCATCAGACACAGCTCTGACTCCCATCCCAACTGCTTTCATGTTCCTGCTTCGAGTGATGCAAACCGTTCTCATATTTCATTCGCTTCCAGATCTGACGGTTCTGGCCGGCATTGTCCGAGCCCGCGGTTTTAAACTTACAAATGTTGTGGTCGGCTTTGGTGGGCTTAGTTTCAGGGCGGGAAGCCTGAGCATGGAGAGCCTGGAGCCGGTTTGCACCCTGCGGATGTCCTGCTCGAAGCTTCCCCTCTGCTTGACATGACTCTGAGACACGATGTCACCTTGGTGAAGTACTGCGGCTTATATTTTCAGAGGAGTGAACTTGTGCTGAGGCTATTTCTGATGGCCTGATGGGATCCTTGGACCGCACTGAGTGGACCGACCACCGCGGAAGTATGCAGGGACTGCTCAGGATACAACGGCGCACTAGTCGGGTGCGCGCTCTCCGTCTTCCAGCCCGGTGTTCCTCTGTGGACTGCGCTTGCCGCAACTATCGGGTGCCACAGTATCAAGAGGAAGCAGCCTTCAGGAAGATTGAAGCTCCCCAGAATTTGTGCGTTGTGTGCGGAGACCTGCAAAGAGTGGCCGTCGATGTCTGTCTAAGACAACTCCATTCCTGCGCGGGAATCAACAGCGAGCAGCGTGTCTTTCACCCCACGCCGCAGTCCCCGCACAGCCTGCTCCAGGTGCACGCCTCAGCTCGCCACCTCCCTGGCGATGGCGGCGCTCACGGCCGCAGGGGCTGCAGCAACGGTGCCGCTAGCAGCGCTGCTCGGAAGAACTGTTCAACGACATGCAACAATCTTGGTACAACATCCACAGAGGCAGTCAATCTCAGTCAATACAAAAGTTGCAAGAGTTTGGGGCCAAGTTTTAGGGCCACTTTGGAAAATAAGAACCATTGTTCACTTCGCGGCATGTCGGCCCCGCCCAGACTTGGCCAACTGCGTTTGTTCGTTGGCAAGCTAGACATGCAGGGAAGGTACCCGTATGAGCCCTTCGTGCTAGAATGGAGCGCCTAAAGTGCTAGCCGAGGAAGCTTGGCCCGATGCTTGCCCCGGTACCCCAGTACACCATTGCCTTCAATGCAGTCGTCTTGGCGGTTGGGTGCTCGGTGTTCCGACTGTCTCTGACCATGCAGTTCCGACTGCCTGGCCAACCCGACACAGAGCGGCTGCTGTGGAGTGGTTTGTGCGTTTGTTTCTGTTGTGCGAATGGGTCTGGTTATCTTGGCTTCTGTGTTTACCTTTTCTTGTTGGCCTGACCCACATTCACAGCGGCGCATCTGCACTTTGCGTTACTGTTCTTTGTGGCTCCACTCGGGCAGCAGCTCAGATCCTTGCCGGCTTCTCTTTGGCGCTGCCTCCGCCACAGAAGCAGAAACCCTCCGATTCCGAGCAGAGCCAGCAGGGCGCCTCGGCATGCAACCTGTCCTCCGGAAAGCTGTGGATGCACTGCTCTCTGCAGCTCAGGTGGATCTGTTCTGGGATTCCTGTATCGTTCAGGACTCATCGAAATCCGATTCTGGAGTCTGCCGTCAGTTATGCCTGCCTTTCCGGCAGGAGTCATTCCAGATATGCTCGAGGCTTCTCTCCACGGAGTGTCGCAGATCTTTGTCGTCAATCATGCCGGTACAGGCGCTGATCGCTTTCGCTTTGAACCCTTTCTTCGCCGTGCTTGGGTTCTGTCAGCAGGACTGATGCTGCTTGCAGGGCTGCTCGACTGCAAGCCCGAACCCCGTGCAAACGTGCCTGCTTGGACACCAAGGATTTTCTGTTATAGCCCGGCAGCTGCTGCAGTGACTTTCGCCGGATCTTTCCTGGGCAGCCTCACGGCAGTGCTGTTGGGGCAGGATGTCGATGAGGTGCTCTGCCGATGATCATCTGCTCTTCCCTGCTTGTGATGATTGCATTGATGACAGTCACTCTCTCTCTCTCTCTC